TGTGCCAGAGTCCGCTGTGCCAGAGTCCGCTGTGCCAGAGTCCGCTGTGCCAGAGTCCGCTGTGCCAGAGTCCGCTGTGCCAGGGTCCGCTGTGCCAGGGTTCGCTGTGCCAGAGTCGAGTATTTATCGGAACTTCGACCACTATGAGCTACCCCGACCTGATATCGGGGTGATGGGGGTAGACGGCCTGTCATGGAAAAAAGGTTTTGTAGACTGCCTTGTCACGGATCCGCCGTACGGTATCCGTGCTATGGCCCACAGCGACGCACAGACTGGGGGCCTCAACTCAGTGGAAGGTTTAGATAGATTGGGTTTGACGCTGAAGAACGTGTATGCCGCTCTTTTCAGGATCGCGGGTTATTTGCTTAGGACCAAAGGATTGTTGGTCTTCCTTATTCCGAGCACGGACGAGTTCAAGGTTGATGCGCGCTCGATAGAGATCATGTGTGGGGACACATTTCGCCTTGACAAGCCCATCGCCTACCAAGAGTTGACCGGTGGCTACGGCCGCTATTGTGTGACGGTTCGGAAGATCTAGCGATTTTTTAGTGCACGAAGTGCTCAATGAATAAATGAACAAATCCATCCGCAGTCGACAAGGATTCCCGTCCCTTCCTAGACCTCTCAAGTGGTGGGTTCCAAACGTCACTGGTCGAATACCTGAAGGCCGTTTCTTCGACATGTATGCTTACTTGGAAGGCAGTGTGGAATCAAGGCGGCACTTATTATTCAACCTGGTCCATGATCAAGTATACCGTGTCCACGACCAAACACATCGTGCAGAGGACACCTCTACTCGGTGTCCGATGTATAATGGCACCATCACAGACGGTCGGTACTCCCGTCAGTACCTGATGTCTGGAAGGTTGTTCAGGACTTTGACAAGCAACAATTCAAGCGAAGAATGGGAAGCTATAGTTTATGGGTACATGAAATATGTGCAAGACTGTCGCACAGTACTCCGCAGACATCGCAGTGAGTGGAGTAAAAGACTCTCACGCATCACATCAGAATTGATGGTCAATGATGGAAAAGAAGTTGGTGACGAAAAAGAAGCTGGTGACGACAAAGTCAACCATGCTTTATATTGTATTTGTCGTTTGTACCATGAAGACCATACGTTTCGTAGAGTTATTAAGACCCAATATGTCCTCTTTCTCATGAAGCATGTCAATGAGCTGAATGTCAATGAGCAGCATGGCAATGAGAAGAATGGTATTAGAATGAATGGCATCAATGAAGGTGCGGACCAGAGTATGCCGCTGCTTCTAGACTCGTTTGTTTACCCTTGGTTGGTTTACGCGTTGTTACTGGAATCGCAAGGTACATGTGAAGGTATAGCCGCGAAAGGTACGGGCGAAGGTTTAATGCCCGTCTTGGGCCGCCTAAGAGTGTCCACGACGGCAAGCAAGAGTGAGGTCAGGGCTGGGTGTTGTGTGGTTCCTCGACATCATCCGTACATGTGTTTCTGTTCTCGTTCCCAAGCCCTTGTTCCCGAGCCCTGTTCCAAGGTTCCACGCAAATAGTTCTTTTTTTGGTCGCGCGTCAGGTTTGTTTCCCTGTTGTTCTACAAGAGGACTTGCCCATTGTTCAAAAATGAGTGTTCTCGCACTACTAAAAGTGAGTGTTGACCCAACTAGGGAGTGAGTGCTCCCACCACACATATTCCCGCAAGACCGAGGTGAGCCGTGTCGGCGGCGTCGTGTCGGCGGCGTCGTGTCGGCGGCGTCGTGTTAGCGCACTATGAGGGGACATCACGTGACCGCTATTGGCCGCGGTTATGAACCGCTATGAGACGGCTCTGAGGACACGACTGCACTGGGACCCAGTCCCAGCACTGGGACTTAGTCCCAGCACTGTGCCTGTGGAGGTTCAGCGTTGCCTGCTTGGTCGTCGTCATCCCAGGCTTGGTTGCCAGTTGGTTGTTCACATTCGCCGGTTTCATAACCATCGTTGCCATAGTTGTTGTACCCGCAGCCCATCTGTTGCATGCATTCCTGGAAGGAGGTCATATTACGTCCATTCTTCTCGAGCATGGAGCCGATTTGGTACATCATACTCTGATCTTGATCGGTGACTAGATTGAAGGAGTCTCCTTGGCAGCCTGCTCGTCCGGTTCTGCCTGATCGATGGACGAATTGTTCGAGATCTTTGGGTAGGTCGTAGTTGACGACAAGTGCGACCTTGGGTACGTCAATACCTCGACTAAGAACGTCGGAGGCTACGAGGACGTTAGTTACGCCATCACGGAACTCTTTCATTGCTTTCTCTCGCTCAAAGTTGCTCTTATCCCCGTGTGTGCTAGCCGCTCGGTGTTGCGGGAGCTTATTTGATACAAGTTGAATGACATGTTCACAGTCCACCTTACGGTTGCAGAAGACTAGAATGCGTTTGTCAGGGATGGGTGCGATTTTCTCAATGAGTGCGCGATCTTTGTCGCGATAGGCAACTAAGCGAAATTCGTAGTTGATAGTGTCGACAACCTGAGTCTCATTTGTGCCGATTTTTAGGTAGATAGGATCTCCGCTCATGAATACTTCACGTGCCAGACCCTGGACAGTACTTGGCCATGTCGCTGACCACATCAACACTTGACGTGTGGGGCGGATGAAACGATTCATACCGCGAATGTCACGACTGAAACCCATATCGAGCATTCGATCTGCCTCATCCAAGACCCAGTACGTGACGCGATTGAGCTTGAGTGCACCACGTCTAACCATGTCGCCCAGTCGCCCTGCTGTTCCGATGCAGACGGAAATAGGTTCACTTCGCAATATCTCTGCTTGCTCACGAGCAGGATGGTTGTCGCCACCGACGACCAAGGTAGTCTTGATACCCATTATCTCCGCAGGCTTCTGACACTCAACGTGGATTTGCGTACTCAATTCACGAGTAGGGCTCACCACCAACACGATCGGGCGACCCGTTGGCTCACGACCCGTAAGAGCGTCCAGCTGCTTCTGACAATGTACCAAACCCGGCAGGATAAAACCTAATGTCTTACCCGAACCCGTCACTGCTCGCGCTACCATGTTGTGCCCTTGCATCGCTATCGGCCAACCCTGCGCCTGCACCGGTGTAGGTGCAGCGAACTTAGAGTTCAACCACCCGCGCACCTGTTCGCTGAACGGAGCCATGTCAAACGTCATGATCGGCCGTGGACACCGTGGATCACTCACCATTATCTGCTTCTCCTTCCGGTACTGCTCGATATCCGCATCCGTTAACTTGTTCAACAACTCAGACTCGTCGTAACATTCTTTGACGTACTCAGTCAACTCCTCACCTTCCCAATCCACGTCCTCACCCTCCCACAGGTCTTCGTCGTACCGCGGCCGAGCGTACACTGCGTCAAACTCGTCCCCGCCGTCCGCAAACTTCTCGCGTCCACCACCAAAGCCGCGACCGCCACCAAAGTCATCGCGATCGCCGTAGCGGCCGCCGTCTCGACCGCCGAAGCCGTCGCGACCACCGTAACCGCCTCGCCCGCCATCGTAGTCGTCACGTCCGCCGTCGCGGCCAAAGCTGCCGCCACGGCCGCCGTCCCGGCCGCCATAGTTATCTCGACCGCCGTAGCTGT